TTCCATAATTAGTGGTGCCAACTTGATGAAATGATGGGAGTTCATACTGGGATGGAGAAACAGTGGAAGATGATAAATAATAATAATAACCTAACCTAACCTGAGTATTACATGTCTGTCAACTACCAGTCTCCTAGCATGGACAGGGTAGTAAGCCAATATGGATCTAATCATCAAATAACCGAAATAGTTACAATCCTGTTCCTGGACAGGCTAACTATGCTCCACATGTGGAAGCACAGTCTAGGGAACCAATGTTCTTTAGAGAGCACAGTGGAGGATATGATCCTTGTGTTTGCTCAAGACCAACGTGTTGCCCAGGATGTGCATTCTAGGTGGTGCAAACCACCATCCTGAGGATCTACTATAGTATCTGTGAAGTAAAGGATCAACTGATGTCAGCATGCATAGCATCCCTTGATGAGCCTTCAGGGTAAAGCAGACCAGCCACAAGGAAAGGGAGCACAGGTGGGTTATACTCCTCAGACCAACTTTTAGTGGCAATTGTTCAATGTGGAAACATTTAATACATCCACAGATTTAGAGCTCTTAGTTTCACTGACAAAGTATCATCTCATGGTGCGTAACTAAACATTTTCTTTCCTACAGGTTGTGCAGTAAACTGAAGCAGTGCCTGGAGGGTAATCTACTGGCCAATTGTTTCTATTAGTGTCCAAGCTCTATCCTCTGCTTTAATTCTTTAAATTACTACTCAGCTTCTGTCAAGGTGTTTAAATATATGGTTTTGTGTAATACATATTCCATTTGTTACCAAGAGTTGGATGAGAAAATCTATACCACTGTCTGTAAAATGGCCTGATTGCTTGGCTCTGTGTGGAGGTTTAAAAAATAAATCCACTTACCTACCTGTACAGCCCACTGATAAACGCACATCTAAATTGTTTTCACCTGTACAAAACTTTGAAATGTAAAAATGAAAGGCTGTGGTTTATGAGGGTTTATATGCGTGGCAATTTTGTGGCCAGGTGCAGTAAAGTCATGCCTGCCCAAGCTATAGTCCAAAGTGCAACATAGCATAACAGTGATATTGATCTTCTCATGTGACTCTCAGCAAGAAAGCAAAATGAGTGAATTATTCCTTAAAAGCAAAATTTACTTTTTACAGCCCAGAAACATTGTTTCCCATGCTATCACAAACCGTATCAAGTTTCAATTGTATATATCTGTAAAATCCTTTCCACATATTTTGATATCTATCAGCAACCATGTATCAGAGAGGAATGCATTTATTGGTTGAATCAAATGAACTGTCTCATCTGTCAAAACTTACTTGTGATACATGCCACAGTGAGTGTACAGCCTCTCTCAAATGCTGAGGGTACATGTTCAAAAGAATCGGTGATCAAAGGCGCTCCTGCTGTTAGAGGCAGTCTCATGAGTGAGGTGTGATCTCTTCAAAGGATTCAACTTTGGATCGCTGCCAATACTTGTTTGTTGAGGTTACATTCTGCAGTGTAACTTCTGTAAACTAACTGTACATAAACCAAAAGTATTCTGTCTTTTTCTTTTTGATGGATAATGACATGAAACAAGAAGTCAATCTGGTGCAACATTATTCCACACCTGCTCAGGCCCTTCGCAGCCTGACTACCAAACTGGTATTTGAGCAGAGTCCCTGAAAGAAGAGCGGCTTGTTTTCAGATTTTTTTATTAAGCCTCTAGCGCTAAACTGCTGATTTTGACAGTTGTTAATCAGTACCTTAGAAATACTTTATTTGATGTATCACCATGAAGGGAGCTATTAGGCAACATTGTATCTCTTTATGCAACCTCTCACTTGTCAGATTGATCGCAGAATTCATTAACTTCCATTTAAATTATGAAGCTGGCATTTAAGATGTGTTACTGTATTAAAAAAAGAACCTTTTAAACAATGTGTATTCTCTAAATGTCTCATGGTGTAACTCAATCTGTAATTGAAAATGAGAATGAAAATCAATATTTCTTAAATAGGGGGATGAATGCATGCAAACAGACCTACATAAGCTGGAGGGATAAAGTCACTGACACAGCTTTCTATCTTAGACAGAAAATTGTTGCGTTATTAACTGTCCACCACCATTGTTTTAGAAAAGGCATATTTCTTTTTGGTTATTTAAAGTAATTATTATTATTTTTTTTTAAATCTGTTGGGATAAAAAAGACTTCCAATGCAATTTAATTGTATTAAGGGAAGAGTAAATGGCAAAATTAAACTCTCAACATTTGAAACAAACATAGCTATACGTAATAACCAAAGGTTTTTTTTTTTATGAATTGTTCTCATAAAATGGCCACTTGAACTTCCTGGAAAACATTCCATCTGTAACACTGAACTCATGCTCCAATAGTGGGTATCCTTAGAAGTCTAACCAGTAAAGTTATGCTTCTCCATAAATAACTGGGCATTATGGTTTCACTAGTCCTTTATTGTCACGTTCTGTTTTAAAGGAAAATACATCAAGGAAGCAATAATACCATCTCTTAGGACTTTGGAAGAATGTGGACATGGAGAGTAAATGAGTACATGTAGTAGTAGTAATGTGATTTCTTTGGACAAACATACTGTTTGAATAGCACAGGTCTATATCATTTAGACATAAGCTGAAGTGAAAATGGTATATTGCAGCACTGTCCGCTCCAAAAGTCTCATCTCAACATAGTCTCATGTTTCTTTTAGTAGAAAATAAAGTCATGTGAGCATGCCCTAATCAGCTCAAACCAACATTTGGTCAAGTCAATGTTGAGGTAATTTCAGCTTGCCAGTTGCTGAGATAAAAGAGTTTTTACATTTCTGTTCAGCAATTAGACTGGCTGGCCCTGAAAAGAGGCTCTTTCATGTTCTTCAATAATGTGAAGGTAGTAAGATACTCTATGTTGGTTTATGCCTTAAATTGTCACCCATCTCTGTACAATATATAGAGCCATCTTTGTTAGGCATTATGTTCACTATTGACCTCAGCTGTGCTGCTTGGTAGGCTTTACATTACATTCCTAATATCTGTTAATATGTGATAGTTTTATTATGTGGGGGAAATACTTTTCATCGCACTGCCTACACTAACTCATGGAAAGAACTGAAGAGATGAATAGTTACCTTGGGCTCTCCTTGAACATTTGTGTTAGTTATGCATTGATGTAAATGACCGTGTAAACTAAGGTCTCGGACAATTAAGCAGCTCTAAGCAAAGTGTGAGCTATCATCACATCTAAGCTGAACATGAAAGGATACAGCAGTGATCATACTTTTGCATAAAACATAATAGTACACAACAACCACAGGGAGAGGCTATGGTAAAAAACAACAACTAAAGAACATAGTGTATGTGAGCAGTTGTTGAAGGACAGCAACAGAGTGGTCTTTTTTTTAAGTTTTCAAACTACTTGAAATTCAATTCTTCAAGCTCAAGGGCGTGCACAACTGCAGAGGTAATCATTTAACTATGTCTGAAAACTGAAGATGCAGTTCTAAGAAATGAGTCTACACCTTTCAATGGAAAATGTCTTTCACTGTAATCAAGGACAGCATGTAACTGTGCTGTTTAACTGAAGTCGGAATTGGTCAAAGCTGGTCAAAGTTTGTGGACAACAACTCTGATAGTACACATCAAGCTCGTCATAAGTACTACTCAGCCTGATAACATCACAGGGGTTTTTCTAGGGACTGTCATTTAATTTGGATGACTCTTTTTTTATCTGTCTCTTGTGTAAGTGCAGTGCTAAGTCACTAGAGTACCATTTTAAATAATGGTCCCCAGATGTGGGCTTGTTGATATGTAGCTGATGACGTTTAATGAAAAACAGGAGAACAGGGCAGCGTGTAATGAAAATAATATTTGCTTTATCTTGTTATAATTTGCGACTAGTCTCATTTCAACTAGATATTTTTATGCTAAATAACTATGACATATCGGTATTACTAAATAATAATATTAATAACTTTACTTATATAGTACCTTTAAAGACAGAGTTTACAGAGTGCTTTGACAAAGAAAAACTTCAGATGGCAATATGACAACCGAAGAAGAAAAACAGTGATAATGAAATATAAGGATGGAGAAAGCAATAGCCATTAAAAAACACAATGTAATCAAACATAAAATATTACAATTATATAATACATATATTTATAAGAGAGAGAAAAGCCACAAAAGCAAGTTTATAAAATGGGTTTTAAGAAGTGATTATGAAGCCTCATCTCTTCAGGCATGTTGTTCAAAGAGAGGCTGATGGGGCCCTGATGGCAAAAGTGTGGTCACCTTTAGATTCGAACCTTGACTTTGGAACAGCCAAAACCACCTGAGTATCCAAGGCTGCGAACTGGCTCATAAGGGGGCAACATTTCTGCTATATAGCTTGGGCCTAATCAATCTTTTACTTTGTTTTATCTTGTTATGTCACGAAACTAACATTCTTAGTATTATGGCAGCAATATACTGTCATAGGGAAGCCCCTAAACAATAATAAGATTAAATCTAAATTAAGCTACAGGAGTATCATTTAAACCTCTTTCCTAACATGCATACATGCCCTTGTGTCGTTTCAGTCAAGGTTGTGTTACAGGTCAGTGTGTAATGATGCTGTTTACAACTTACATTCTAACTAAAAATCCCCTCAGGAGATTAATGAATAATACTATTTTATTTAATTATATAACCTGAAACAAAATGCACCTTTATACAAACTAATCCAAACTCAACAGAAATATACAACAGCAAAGACATATGCCTGACATAAAATAAAGTGGAGTTCTTTGGAAATAAGTAATCAATACTTATTTGAGTTTTAGGGAAGGGAAAATGTGAATCTCTGGTTCATTATAAATTGTTATTTAGTAAGTGGAACAGTGATTTCCTGTGAAATTGCCCATGTCATGTTTAATAGTTCTTGTAATGAGTCTTGTTTTACTGCTCACTGAACCAACCTTCTGGCCTCAGGCTCTTCCTGCTTGGTTAAGGTCAAATATAAAACCAGCCTTCACAATAAAGCCTCCTTCATATACCTACAGAATGGCTCCATCACCATGACTGACTGACCTGTGTAGGATAAATCAGCCGTTGAAGCAAAACATTTTGTACAAAAACTGCTCCAACAAAGTAACTGTCTTAGCTGCCTTTTGGGTCCATTTAAATACAGAAAACTTCTGCCATTCTGAATGGAGTTACCAGTGGGCAGTGACAGTGTTCACCTGGCTGCATACAGACCCAGACCTCCTCTGTCAGTAGCTAATGGGAAGGCAACACCTGGAGGGTATGATGAGTCTGGGTACTATCAGTGTTATGGTGATGGGAGCAGCGTAACATCCAGAGGATCTGATGCTCTAACTGGCTATGAGACTCTGGATGCTCCGCCACACTATGACTTCTACGCCAACACAGAGGTTTGGGGGCGACGGAGGCGCTTCAGACCATCTCTGTACCAGCTCCACGCAAACCCTGAGGTAGGAATATCTGCTTTTTACCAGTATGGTGCTTATCTCTTTTCAAATGACCAAAGAAATGCAGGTTGAGTAGTTGTTCTCACAATAAAGCTGCATTTTAGCCTCTGATTTCCACTGAATATGTTTCAAATGCTCTGAAACGAACCCTGATGCCATAATGCATCAGTTTGGTCATAAGCTATCTCTCTTTTACCTGACAATATTTGCTCCATTTACTGTAAAATAAAGATGATTTTACCCCAAAGATTCTGTTGTTAAACTTGATGCAAATGGCTACCACAGTTTTTTAGGTCTATGTTATGGTGTGCACACACTGAATGAGATGAAAGGGATTGACATATGAGACAAAGTTAAAAAAAATCTTTATTATATTATGTTTATCTGTATTAGAATTTTCTTCGTTGTTAAAGGTTTTTTCTTGAGAGGTGGTAAAGGATAGAGGATGTCAAGTGCTGCACTGATTGATGATTTTGGCCTGTACCAATGAAGTTTACTTGGTTTTACTTGACCAGGATGACTCCAAACCTCCATTGTATGAGGAGACAACAGCTGGACAGATGGAAGGAGGAGACAGCTCAGAGGAAGACGAGGAGGAGCAGAAGGAGCCACCACCCGAACCAACCCGCTTTGGCTGGATACACGGAGTCATGGTAGGTCGGGTTAGACTTTTGTAGATATTTGTGAGTAGCAGCTGCCATTCTATACATTTTAAGTTAAATGAGACACGTTATTATCCTTGCAGTGAAATTTGCCATGGCTCTTGTTTCACTGCTTCCTTACAAACAGATGATCTACAACATACTAACTGTTCTGTAGCAGAAATGACTAACAGACACACTTCATGCTGACATATTCTAGCCTAAATACTGACTGGCTGTCTAACATCAGTCATGGGAAGACATCACATAAAATGTGTTATCATGTTATCATGTACACATTTTGACAAATAAACCCAAGTGTCAAGCAGATACCTGGTCTGGATATAAAACCACTTAAAGCCCACTGGGTCGCCTGCTTGAGTGAGTTCTAAGCGTATAAATGTTTAAACTTTTGTCAATTTGGACATGCTACACATTGTTAGATTGATGCTGTTCAAATAAAGGCAGATTGAGTTCAGTGACTGAAGCAAATAAACGCCTGGGCCATAATTCAAGTTTCATGGTAATCCAGTTATGGCATAAAGTAAAGAAGCAGTTTTGTGATGACTCCATTTCTGAAAACCTTTAGGGCCCCAAACTGTACAAAAATATCACATCACATTTGTCACATATCATCTGGACAAAAAAAAAACTACAGTTAAGGTATGGTTAAGCTTGAGCAATTAGAACACAAACATTGCAGCTCTGTGACAGGACAGAATTGAAGGCCTCCTGTATGAAAGTCAGACCCCCATCCACCACCCCAACTTTCACACCTATACTTTCTAACTAACTACATAAAGGACACACAATACATCCTGCTTTAGCACTGATCGTTGGCATTGGACATACATTTTGTTGAACTGTTCAATTCAATCTGTAACTGTCTTTTTATAGATCCGTTGCATGTTAAATATCTGGGGGGTGATCTTGTATCTGAGGCTGACTTGGATCACTGCTCAAGCTGGTATAGGTACGTCCAACAAACCTTTTTATTTGATTGACTTTTCACATGCTTGATCCATGCAACACATTTTTATATTTCAGCCTATGAAGCCTTCCGCCTGGCTTACTGTCTTTCTTTCTTTCTTTCTCTCTCTCTCATTGTGCCTTTATGTCAGGTTTGACGTGGGTGATTATCCTGCTATCCTCTTTTATAACTGGGATCACTGGTCTTTCAACCTCAGCCATTGCTACCAACGGAAAGGTCAAAGGAGGTCTGTTTTCTGACTGAGACATGTAACAATCTACTTAATATCAAAAAATATATAGGTCTGACATTATTACATTTTATTGCAAATGATTTCTAATTTTTCCTATGTTCCCAGGGTCCTATTTGTTCCCAGGGTCCTTTTTGTTCCCCAGTAATGGGGTATTGGTAGGTTTAGGGTTCAGGTTAGAGGGTTAGGGAACTTAGGGACCCTGGTAACATATGCTCCATTCCTAACATCATGGCCACATTTCCCACAGTACATATTTCTGTTGCTCCCCCAACCACCACCCCTCACCCCCCTTGTTTTCAGGTGGGACCTACTTCCTGATCAGTCGCAGCCTCGGTCCAGAGCTGGGTGGGTCCATCGGTCTAATCTTTGCTTTTGCCAATGCTGTTGCTGTGGCCATGCACACTGTGGGCTTTGCTGAGACTGTTACAGACCTTATGCGTGTAAGTAGGATATTGTGTGTTAATAAGCTGGTGGAACAGCTTTTACAATGATACCATAGGCGTAAACACAGATTTTTATTCTGTTTATAAACACCTGAAATTTATCTAACTTTTCTCCCTCAGGAAAATGGGGCTGTCATGGTGGACCGAACCAATGACATCCGCATCATTGGCATCATCACTGTCACATGTCTACTAGGTATCTCAATGGCTGGTATGGCGTGGGAGTCAAAGGTTAGCTCAAAAGTTATTGAAGATTTATCTGATGCACTGAATGTTTTACTGCTGCAGTAGTTAGATGAGAAGATTGATACCATTCTCTGTACCTATAAAGATAAAGCAAGCTATCAGTTATCTTAAGTTAGTACACTGTAAATAAAATTTGACTTGATTTGACTTGACTAGAGGGAATAGATTTCCTTTAGATTTCCTTAGTTTCCTTCTACATAACTACAGCCTAACCCTAACCCATGTATAAGGGGTTTGCTTTGTTATGTTTCAAGGGCTGCCAGCTTCAGTGAACTACTTACAAGCACAAAAATTCTCCTTATGCATAGCCTATACAGTACCACCTGTCAAGGGTAAGAATGACAGAAAAGGATAGTTCAGCTAGCATGTCTGCCCTTAGTGATATGCAATAGCTTGTATTTGCATGTAAATGTCTTTCTACATATGTTTACCGTAATCTGCCTTCCACAGGCCCAGATTCTGTTCTTCCTGGTCATCATGTTGTCATTTGCCAGCTACATTGTTGGAACATTCCTCCCTCCTTCACCAGAGAAACAAGCCAAGGGTTTCTTTAGCTACAAAGGTGACTATTCAGTCCCTGCTCACAGTATCATATGAATGCAAAGTCATCATGAGGCTATTTTGTGTGTGGTATTTCTAATACAATTAAAGGATCACCAGAAATAAATCATTGTGATATAATTTCAATGGCATATAAAAATAATTTGTTGAAACTTTTTTTAAGTTATGAAGGCAAATGAGCTTGCCAATAAACGGACTATTTCCCCTTTAACAGCGGATATTTTTGCTGAAAATTTCTTGCCCAACTGGCGGGGTCCAGAGGGCAGCTTCTTTGGCATGTTCTCCATTTTCTTCCCTTCTGCCACGGGCATCCTGGCAGGAGCTAACATCTCTGGAGATCTGAAGGTATGTTTGTTTCTTTCCTTCTCTATTCCTAATCCTTTTCTTATAAAATCCTGATTTCGAAGGCATCATGTATTGTTCTCAGTGGTACATAAACCGGCCTGCTTGTCTCACACACACACCATACTGTTCTTGCACATAAATCATGACATACACACAAATCTTGATTAACATACATGCGGCAATGTATAACCCTTACTTTCCAGAATCCAGGAGTGGCCATTCCCAGAGGAACACTGATGGCAATATTCTGGACAACTTTCTCCTACATCATCGTCTCTACTACCATTGGTACTGTATTATCTGTATTTAGACTTATAAACATATAGTGAGTTGGTCTTTGAATTACCATGTTGATGTTATTTTGCAATAATGACTACCTCAGTGTACACTTTGCCACTATATACATGGATTCTCTCCAAAGTAATTTACTGTAATCATGTGGCATAAAATTAATAATAATTTTGTTGTTGTTGTTTGTTTTTGAGGTAATAATCGTTTGTGGAAGCATATGTATATTCATTCATGCATGCTTGTGTCCATGTGTGTTTCTTTGCTCCCAGGATCCTGTGTGGTGCGGGATGCGTCTGGCCTGTTAAACGACAGCCTGTCACTCTCACCCAGCGAGGATTGTGGTTTAGCTTGTCACTATGGATGGGACTTCACTGAGTGTATCAACAATAACACATGCACCTACGGCATCAGTAACTACTATCAGGTCAGCCCCAGCTCGCTCACTCACTTGTCTTTATACTGTTTTTTGTTCCTCATATTAGAAGCCTTACATTGTTTTCAGTGAGGACAAGACGACTTCTGACATGATTTCTGGGTGATATAGTCCTTTAGGAGTTCGGTCTAGACCTGCTCTATTTGAAAAGTGTCCTGAGATAATCTCTGTTATGAATTGGCGCTATACAAATAAAATTGAAATTGAATTGAATTTTGAATTTTAGTAAAAAAAAGCATTTACCTCCTTTTACCACTTGGAGCCGCCAAAGCATAATCCTGCCTTGTCTGCCATCAATTCAAAGACATTTATTACATTTTTCTTTCATTGCCAGAAGCAGGAACTACACAATAAAAACAGTGAGAACAACAAGCCAACATGAGTGTCATTTTGCATAAATCATCCAGTCTCCCTCTGTATTACTCAGACAGTTTCCCCCTTGGTGAGAAACATTACCCAAATGAGTAAACGGTATATTTCTGTCTCTAGTCGATGAGCATGGTGTCAGCCTTGGCCCCTCTCATCACTGCTGGTATATTTGGAGCAACACTGTCCTCTGCTTTGGCCTGCCTGGTGTCTGCTCCTAAAGTCTTCCAGGTACACACACATACACACGCTCACAAACACACCAGATATGCTATATTGTGTGTGTTTTTTCATATTTCATTGCAACTTTTCCTATCTTCCTGTAGCTGTTTAAAAACTTTTATTTCTTGTTTTCTTTGTTGTGTCAAAGAATTGGTAATTTTTTTGGCTCCTTTTATTTTTTTTCTGGCAGTGTCTGTGTAAGGACAAACTCTACCCTTTCATCGGCTTCTTTGGCAAAGGTTATGGCAAGAACGATGAACCGCTCAGAAGCTACGTACTGACGTACTTGATCGCTGCCTGCTTCATTCTCATTGGTGAGGTTTCAAGAGAACCTCTGACCCCTGTGGATGATCAGTAGGAATTTTAGCAGTTGCAGTCTGAATGGAAATGGGAATGTCTATTGGGTTTCACTTTAAAACCAATGTGAACTATGTTTCCACCTCTGCCCTTTCTCTGCACCAGCTGAGTTGAACACCATCGCTCCCATCATCTCCAACTTCTTCCTCTGCTCCTATACCCTGATCAACTTCAGCTGCTTCCATGCCTCCATCACCAACTCACCAGGTAGAAAACTCTTAGCAATAAAACCTGCAACTGTTACAAGGAAGCAGAATTCCTGGTTGATAGAGAGTGGGTATACATTTGTGTCTGCATGGTATATACACGTGTTTTATGTGTCTCCAGGTTGGCGTCCATCCTTCAGGTTCTACAGTAAATGGCTGTCGTTGCTGTGCGCTGTGTGTTGTGTGGTTATCATGTTCCTGCTGACCTGGTGGGCGGCCCTCATTGCCTTTGGCGTGGTCTTCGTCCTTCTGGGATACACTCTCTACAAGAAGCCTGGTAAATTCACACACATTCAGTCAGACAAACAGTGTAGTGTCGCACACACCAACAGCTGTCCTCGTCTGCTCCTTTCTAACTCTACTGCTCTCCTCTGTGGTTAGCTGTGAACTGGGGCTCCTCAGTGCAGGCCAACTCCTACAACATCGCTCTGAACCAGTGTGTCGGCCTCAACCATGTGGAGGACCATGTCAAGAACTACAGGTCAGTGACAGCATGTGATCACATGCCTATAGTTTGTCTTCTGTAGTCAGAATTTAGAAGGGACATTTTTTTGGGAAAATGCTTTGTTGCTGAGAGTTAGATGAGAAGATCAATACTCATATTGGTCAATTAAATATGAAGCCACATACAGCAGACAGTTATCTTTGCTTAGCATAAATATTTGAAACAAGCGGAACAACTAGCCTGGCTGGCTACTGGGCAACTTAAATCCCCCACCACCTCTAAAGCTCACTAGAAAAATATGTTACATCTCATTTGTTTAATTAAGTATGAAAACAACATTTTATGGCACTGGTTCCCAACCTGGGGGTCCCAACCCCCACTAGGGGCCACCAAAGCCTTACTGGGGAACATTTTAATTTTAAGGGCTGTAAAAAATGTTTAAAATATGTTAGCCTCTATTAATGTATGTGTAGAAAATGAAAAAGAAATTCTTTAATTGAACTTTTTTTTTTCAATATTAGTTTTAAGATATGAAACTCTATATAAGCTAAAAACGTTCACAGGACAAGGCAGGGTGAAAACCTGAACACTAGCTCTATTGCCTTCACTCTCTGCTAACAACCTAGTCCTGCATTAGAAAATTACACCGTTAATTAATCAGAGAGGTTGAAGGGAGAAGAAGAAAAAAAGGCCTATTAAGTTTAACAAAGGTGTAGATGTTGTCTGTAGGTGCTCTGTACTAAACTGCTCAACATGTTACTCTGACTTTGCTCAACTTTCAGACCCCAGTGTTTGGTGCTAACAGGTCCTCCCAGCAGTCGCCCAGCTCTGGTGGATCTTGTCAGCTGTTTCACAAAAAGTCTCAGTCTCATGATTTGTGCCAATGTGAACACTGTGAGCACAACATGCACAGACATACACACCACCCAGTGAAGATTACATTAATGTTTGAACAAACTGCCATGATTCAGCTGTCAGTGTTTTTAGTTGAGGACTGAAATCATTATGCATTTGACTCTGCATTTGTCAGGCGGGTCCCTCCCCATCAGCGGTGGAAAATGCGAGCAGTGACAGTCATATTGCCTGGTTGAACAAACGGAAGCTGAAGTCGTTCTACAGAGGGGTGGTGGCTACAGAGCTACGATCAGGAGTTAACATGCTGCTACAGGTCAGAATTACACCTCATCTATTCTATCCTAATGAACTGTCTCCATCAACTGAACTCTGCTGGGGTTGCTTTAGGGGTTCGGTCTCAAAGACAGGTCAAGTTCACCCTGAGTTCAGTTGTCATGGTAACTGGGCCAAACCTACAATCAGCAGCTATTGCTCCGGATTACAGATCAAAACAGAGGAAAGACCAATGACCAATCAGCTGTCACAAAAAAATGCAGCCAGTCCTACTGAATCTTAATGGACAAAGTGCTGCATCGTGACAGTACAACAGTGCAGAGTGGCATCATTACAAACCAGTAAAGATACTTCGCTTTGCATGCCAATCTTATACTGGACAAATACTGGTAAAGGTGCTTCCTACTATAGTAATAACACATGAGCTCTCTAGCACAGTGGTTCTCAACCTTTTTGGTGTCAGGGACCATCAAATTAATACACATCATGAGACATATTTGATCAAATGTAGTGTCAGGGATCGATTCTGATAAGATTTGGTTATTCCATAACTGTCTGTACTGTAGATTGGCAGATTAACAGTGAGTGTGATACCTATGGACCCCTGGAGGTCCCCGGGCCCCAGTTTGAGGACCACTGGTCTAGCAGGTAGATAGTTTGAAGCTGTGAATGTTATGGGGCAGCTTTGTGAATATGTTTTATAGACTCAGTGACATAACATATAAATATAATATAAAAGCACAGTGTGTCCTGATAACAGGGAGTGGTCGACCTTTTTCTTTAACCCATTGTGTCCATAGTGGAATTTTACAATTTCTTTTTCTTTTTTTCTTTTTTTTTATACTTAGCTGAGCTAAGCACAGTTCCAGTTATTTTTTCTCCAATCGGTCAAAGTAAGTTTTTTGTTGTTGTGAGGGACTTTTTAAAATGTTGTTGGGATAACACCTCTAGAACAATAGGTTATGCATTTTTTGAAACACACATATTTTGAAAAAAAAAGAAAAATTATAATCTCTTACTCTTTCTTGGTCTAGTATTTCAATTGTACAGACCTAAGAGACATTTATAATGGGATAAAATGAGTAACCCCTAGTGACGACTAAATATGGTGTGTTACAGAAATGGCTGTACCTCAGAAACTACAGCCGCATCTTGACCGTTTCCACAGCAGATTTTGTGTTTCCACCTCTAACAGATAAACAATAAGTGCTTTTCTTTAACATATAAATATTGTGGTTAGTCATTCATGGGTTAATATAGAATATCTGCAAACACAGTTTGTCACATACTGTCTTACTTCATCAAACCTTGTTTCATTCAAGTGTCAAGAAATACATTTCCACTATCTGCATTACTGTCAACAGCATAAATAGCACCACAATTCAGTAATGTCAGTATGTTAGAGGCTATTTTAGTAGTTTACACAAATGTATAACCAACTGCTTTAAGTATTTGGTTAATGATTTATCTTCATCTGTTTCTATAACTTGTTTTCATTGTCTAATTCTTTGCTTAGTTCTTGTATTGTCTTTTACAGCTTTTTACAGCTGCAATGCATTATTTTTCCAACAGGAACCAATCATTTTATCTTATTTCATTAAATGGTCTGCTTTGGATCTGTTGATGTTGTTAGTACCAGTGTCTCTGTGGGTATCACCCTTTGATCTTAGCAGAGCCAGCTGGTAACCAGCTGTGTGAGATCAGTTATCCAGGATTGTCTCTGTAAGGTTTGGTGAATCTGGATACCTCAAAGAGAGCCATGAGGAAGCTGAACTTGCTCTGCCAGTCATGCCTGACTCCTCTCTTCTTCTTCTCATGTTGTTGATTGTCCACCAGGGGACAGGTTTGGGTCGTATTAAGCCAAATGTTCTGATGATGGGTTTCAAGAAAGACTGGCGCAGTGACACTCCTCAGGCTGCACACAGTTACATAGAGATACTGCAGTGAGTACAGTGGGGAATAATTAACCTCATCCACCTTTGAACTATTGTTATAAGCTCAGATAGTCAGATAATGTCCAATGTCAAAATTCAACATTACAACGCTGTGTGTTTCAGTGATGCATTTGACCTGCAGTACGGTGTGTGCGTGCTGAGAATGAGGGAGGGACTGGATGTCTCTCATCCATCTCAATCACATGGTGAGAGCCCTTTCAAATTAGAGTAATAGAGTACATCAAGAGTAAAATAACTTCACAGCAACAATCTATGTCAGTTGAAGCGGAGTTAACAAGTTGTTGTATCCTCTGTTTTTATTTCAGTCAATGCAGCCTTTGATGGAGGATCAGAGAGTATAACCACCATCTCTGCCGCTCCCCGCATTAAAACAAGCACTACTTGTATGTATATGCATGATCATATCATTAGAATTTAGTTCTTTTACATATCATGGCAATTTAACTTGGCCTGAGTTTACCCTTGAATGCAGAAGCTAAAAGTAAAAGGTACTAAATGGGAGATGATTTTGAACCTAAATATTCAGAAACCCTATAAGCTGATGTAAATAGAAAATAACTATTTTCTGTGTATACAAACTTATTTGTAGCTGCTGTCTCTATTGAAGTGGAGCCTCAGCCTAGTACGGTGTTCCAGAAAAAACAAGGAAAGAGGACCATCGATGTGTACTGGCTGTCTGATGACGGAGGTCTGATCATCTCTCCATCTATCACTTTCCTTTCTTCCGTCAAGAATATTACCTCACATTTCCTTATCTCTATGTGTGTGTGTGTGTGGTTTACCAGGTCTGACCCTGCTGCTGCCCTACCTGCTGACCCGGAGGAAGCGCTGGGCCAGATGTAAGGTCCGAGTGTTTGTGGGGGGTGAAACAGACAAGAAGGAAGAGCAGAAAGAGGAGTAAGTGCTTGGATTACTTTTTATCATTCAGATTACTATGGGCTGTTCTTACCTCAGTCTGGTTTCTTCAGAACATTTGCCAAAAAGGTGTCAGAGTAAATTGAGACTATAGAGATGAATGAAATATCTAGTTAAAGACCTTTTTCACAGCAGACATTTAGTAGGGCATAGAGGGAAAACAACAGTAACTAATGACAAATCCAGTTCATTTAAACCTGCGATAACGTGAGTGTCAGAAACCTGGGTAAACACAACACTGACTATCATGTTAGCAAACTATTGTCTGCAGGTGCAGCCATTTTTCCTGCTATGACAATTCAAAATGTCTTTAATGATTAAAAGCTATGAGTATGAGATCATGTGAATATTTTGTAAATTGTGCTGTACACTATGTATTTACATTCTCTTTCCAGAGTGTTGGCACTGATCAAGAAGTTCCGTCTTGGTTTCCATGACGTTGAAGTGCTTCCTGACATCTACCAGAACCCCCAGCCTGGAAAGTACGGTTTCCAAAGCTTGTTTAATGTAGAACAATGAAGTAAAGCGCAAACAGCAGGGAAAAAGATT